GTGGCAACAAGACTTCAGTTTGCGAGAGACTTTCGTTCTGTCGCTGCGGACGCAATTCTTGTTGCTTGCAGAAAACTTGGGGAACGATCGTGACTCGTTTCGTGAGGCGGATCGTGTCGCTGAACAGCCGCGGATTGTTCTGCCGACATGGTGGTCCTTTATTCTCCTAATTATCAGCAGTCCAAGCACATCTCTTCAACGTCGGAGAATGAAGCGCTTCCCTGTTCCGTTGACAAGCGCTTCGCTCGCGGGTGTAATGCACTTCCGCATCAGCTTGCAGTAGATCGTCAGGTATTGAGGTAGGTGTCGTTGCGGAAAGAATAATAATTATTATTATACTTGTAGCTGACATACCTGTAGTGTCCCTTGACCGTGCTGGTCGCCATTGCAACGTTTTAGGTCTCAGGTCAATTTAGTTCTGGACCCGGCGAGCGCCGCCAGCGCTGTTTCCGTCAAGTAACGTTTGTAGGTGTCCCGTCACTTCGGAGCGTGGCGTCTCGTCGCGCGACCTTTCGAAGCGGTCATTTCGAAGACAGTCAGTTAGGAACGGGGACACTTCGGAGTGTGTCAAATTCGGCGCCAGACGATTCGACGAGAACCAGTTCGGAGAATGGCCACGACATCGCCTGTTCATTTCGTCGTCACACCCGCTTTTGCTGGGAGAAAAATCGCACTTATTTTCGCCTGTTCATTTCACGACTCCCTGGTTTGAACTTTTCGCCGGTTCATTTCACGACTCCCTGGTTATAACTCTACACCTCCGTCCTTCAAAAGCAATGGCTTTTGCTGGGAGAAGAATCGCACCTCTTCTTTCTCTCTCTCTCTCTCTCTCTCTCTCTCTCTCTCTCTCTCTCTCTCTCTCTCTCTCTCTCTCTCTCTCTCTCTCTCTCTCTCTCTCTCTCTCTCTCTCTCTCTCTCTCTCTCTCTCTCTCTCTCTCTCTCTCTCTCTCTCTCTCTCTCTCTCTCTCTCTCTCTCTCTCTCTCTCTCTCTCTCTCTCTCTCTCTCTCTCTCTCTCTCTCTCTCTCTCTCTCTCTCTCTCTCTCTCTCTCTCTCTCTCTCTCTCTCTCTCTCTCTCTCTCTCTCTCTCTCTCTCTCTCTCTCTCTCTCTCTCTCTCTCTCTCTCTCTCTCTTCGCCGAAAGTGGAACTGCAACTCCCCGTGATACAGAACTGCCATTGTTATAATAATTTGGTTTGACTGTGAGTCTGTCACTGCATTGATGTACAAAATACCTATACAATACTACACTATACTGTATTGTACTTTGAAGCAGTCGGTCTGTAGCTGTTCAGCTGTGGGAACATTGCAATGGCGCTTCGAAACGTCGGGGGTCCGAACTTCCCGGGTCCCAGTTGACGTGCGATGAGTTGTCGTGGCAGCGAAGTGACGGGTTTCGAAATGTGTCCGCGACGAGACGGTCCTCGACGATATGACCTCTTCGAACTGACGCTCCTCGAAATGTCCCGCTCCTAAGTGACGTAGAACCAAGTTTGTACATAGCTGCATCCAAAATGCGTTCGTGAGGAATCCGTCGTTTGGTTCCCTACCCGTGACTCCAACCGCCTGTCGCAATGGATAGCCGCCTGGAGTCTTGGGTAATAGCTAGGCATCAAGTCTGAACCAAATTCCATGCTCTATGCAAAGAAAGTTGACGGGAAAGAGAAAAATACTCGCACCGACTCAGCTCGGTGGAAGTGCGTGGGAACCGATTTTTTCAGCGCCGCTCGGCTAAAAATTGGATACACATTTTCAACGACGCTGGTTCGATTTTTTTCAAATGGCAACCCCTACTCCTGGCAGCGTATTTCAATGGATATGGACCTCTTCCAGGGCCCAGTAACCCTCTATGGCAGCTAAACATCTCCAATACCCCAAAATAGTGGCCCAAACTGGGCGAAGTCGGCCTGTCGACTGCAGTCGACAGCGGCACTGGGAACTGCATTCTTGCTGGTCGACTACAGTCGAAAGCGGCACTCAGAGTGCATGAATGGGCTGTCGACTGGAGTCGACGGCGGCAGTGAAAGGGTTAAAAACAGTAGTAAATCCAATCAAAAAATGTAATGTAATGTAACCCAATCATAAATGTAATGTAATGTAACCCAATCATAAACGTAATCGACATTTAAGACATGCATATAATGTTGTAAATCTTGAGGCGAGGTGATCTAAGAAGAACGACGAGGACGACGACGAGGAAACGACAGGCACGCCGGAAGACAACAACTTCCGAAGAGCCTGCCCGCACACGCAACACCAAGGAGAAAAGGACAACGACTAAGAAACGACAGGCACCCCGGAAGACAACAACTTCCGAAGCGCCTGCCCGCTCACGCAACACCAAGGAGAAAGGACGACGACAAAGAAACGACAGGCACCCCGGAAGACAACAACTTCCGAAGCGCCTGTCCGCACACTCAACACGTTCACACATATACTCAAAACAACAAGGATGGCACTACACAAGAACAGGCGAAAACCGTCGAGGTGCGAAGAATCGAGTAAGAACAGGTGAAAACCAGGCGAGAACCGAAGAATCGAGTAATCCTTCATTAACAAGACAAATCCTCAGTTGCACACTCGCTCTGAAAGAGTGGGTGTGCTAGCAACATCATCGGAACGAACAGACCAAGACCCACAAGACACAAAAAGACGCACACACAAATGAGCCGTCAGATGCAAAAAGGTACCTTATGACGTTTTGCTCGCAGTTGAGAAAATCGCGTTCGAAAAAGTATTTTCTGTGAATATGTGATCGATAGTCCGGATATTTTCCAGGGTAACTCGGTGATGAATTGAGATTTTTGGACCTGTTTTTTTGCACGACACTCTCCTGACCAGGTTGTATCTGAAACAATCGTTAACTCGATTTGGCCAAAAATGTCATAAGGTACCTTTTTGCATCTGACGGCTCAAATGATATAATCCGCAAGTTCAAAAAAGGAGAGAAAGAAGCGCACACACAAGAAACAACAACGCACACACAACCTGGCAAGGACGATGGACACAAACCAGCACGAAAAACGACTGAGACTTCCTTTTTCAGGTAATCAGGACAAAACGATTAGGACAAGGACAAGGACATCACAAGACGAACCAACGGTTGACGTGGTCGTATATAGGGCCATGACGAGGGAACACACGAGGACGAGGATTGGGTGGCGGGGTTCGATAGTGGCGGTATGGTGCGTGGGGTGGCATGGTTGGTACGTGAAGTCGGTGAGGTGGTAGGATGTCGGCGTCGTAGTAGCGGTGTGTTGGTCGTGGTCGTGGTTGATGTTGGATGTGTCGCGGTGGTCGGTACGTACGAACGCTCAGTTGTCGTCGCATGGCTGTCAGTAGGTTGTTGATCGAAGGCGTTGGCGGTGGTGCGGGTGCCGGTTCCTGGTGTCTAGCGCCATCAAGGCGCGCCGGCCAGATCAACGGCGGCGCCGTCGCTTGGGGCGCAGCCGGTTCCGACGGTGGCCGGGGCACCGGAAATGGCGTGTCCGTGCGGGCAAACCAGCTCCGGCCCCGGACTGGCGACCCCCACGGCGATGGATTCCATGCTGGGGATGGAGGGCGCGGCGGCGTTCGCTGTAAGCGGTCAACGCCAGGCAGAGGCGGAGGCGTTCCTGGCGGGGAATCCGGCGGAAACGGAATCCGGCGGAAACGGAATCCGCAACGCCGCCACCAGGTCCGCGTGCAACGGTGAACCCTCGGCCATGGTACTGAAACGTGAGAAACAACACACAGACACTCTTCCTTTGTAACACTACTGTCACTGTATGGCTTGTCTGCAATGACGTTCTGGAACTCTATGCCATCTCCATCGCCAATTTACATGGCATATCTAAGGTTGTTCTCGGTTTCTGACCGTTTCCAAAGGCTAACAAGAGAAGTTGACTCCGTGGCTGGTGATGAAACAGCTGTGTTGATTGTACATAATTCTGTGTGGTTTTCCGTCCATTTCTCAAACTGGCTGCTGGTGACGTCACCAGATGGCATCCCTCGCTTTCCAACTGGAACAAGCAAAGCAATGCCTGCACATCTACAACCTGATGTGTGTCCCAAGCAACCACCGCCTGGATGCCGAATAGCGACGATTACTCCTCGGCGCATCCAGGTGCCATCTGTCGACACAGGTGTAATACGTAGCCGAGTGGAGGAGGCAAGAAAGAGAAGGCAAGAAAGAGAAGGCAATAAAGGAACTTACTCAACAACTTTGGCAGCAGAACGAGTTAGTAAGGGGAATATGGCAGCAATGATCATGAGGACAGAATGGAAACTACCGCGGGATGGTGGAGCTTGCATAATACGCAGCGTAGCTTGCATGATACGCAGCGGAGCTTGCATGATAGGGGTGGCATATGTACTCACGCTAGTAACAGTTTAATTTGAACTGGTCGATGATAGAGTAGTGGTACAGCAAGTAAGGTGACATACCTTGGTTGCAGGGAATACGGGTCGTGTAGCGCGAGGACGGTAGCAGTACGCTATGCCATGGCCAATCTTCTTGCAGGAGTTCAGTACTGGCAAGGCAGGGATACTACACAGGTACATCCCTCGGTTCCGGCTTGTCGGCACACACACCAGCAACAACAGCAGCCACGATTCTCTGCATACTCGGCTTGCCCACCTCCACGGCTGCTTTGTGGACGTGCTTGCGATGGTTGTCAAAAGATCTCTTAGCCATGGGTAATGGCATGTCAAGGACGGTGGAAAGCAACTCCAGGGTTGCAACAAACTGGCCTTGTGTCTTGTTGTCCTGTGCACCGGGAACAAGATTGTGGGAATGAGCATTTTGACTCACCAGTATCCTGCTTATAATTATTATTGTTAGTGCTAGGCAAACAACAGATGACTTGTCGCTTTCTTTCGGGGGGGGGGGGGGGGTCCTAAGAATATCTATGTATTTAGCATAAGCGAAGCTGTGGACGCCGCATTCTGCTGTTGCACTTCAACATGCAAATGCTTAAAATAATATCTACCATGGGTTCTATTCTGTTGTTGTTCACCACCAGCATGTGAGGAACGAGAGTGCCCGTCACTCCTTCACCATCGAGCTGTTGAACACCGCCGGCTTCACGGTGGTGACGGTGGACGGACGTGGGTCAGCACGGCGAGGTCTACAGTTTGAGGGGGAGCTCAAGGGACGCTTGGTAAGCAGATAGACAACACATTTTTTTAGTTAGCCGAAATGTGGATGCACAGATTTGGCTTGTAAATGCGCTGACAAATAGCTTCCAAAACTTTAACTACAAACTCGGATGTTGAGCCAATAGTAATATGTAAAGAGAAAACGACCTATCAGTTTGGAATTGGAGCTAGGTGTCAGGTCGTCGAATGTCTCAATATCCTTGTCAGTTTTGTGCCTCGTCGTCGCACTATCTGACTGTACATTATCTCATTACCTTGGTGGGCTGTTAGTCATAACTAGAAACGTATAGGTCATTTTCTCTTTACATAACACTTTAACTGCAACCTGTAACCATGGCGAGCACGACACAACGCCGAGAAACAAGAAACAAGAATCAAGAATCAAGAGTATGTACTACAACAATGAAGATTCCTCAAGGTTACAGTTGTAGTTTAAAAAAAATTGGAAGCTTGTTTGTTCCCGAGGTCTGAGGGAAATGTTGAACGGTCTCTGCTGGGATGACGGGGGGGGGGGGGGGGGGGGTACCTGGGTCGGTGGTGTCCAGCGGGACATTTTTGAAATTAGGGTGCACAATCCTGCATTCTGGGCACTTTTTTCGTGGTCGGGCGAAAAAGTGGACCGGCTGCACGCCCCTGTGAACAGTGAACATTGTTGTGAGTTGCTGCTGTTGCGGCTCCACTTTCATTGCTCTTTGTCTCTCCTGGTGGGGTGTGTTTGTTTGTTGTCGTGCACAGGGTGCTAAGGAATGCGAGGATCAAGTGGACGGGTTGAGAGAGGCTGCAGCTCGGTACCCGTGTGTTGACCTGGAGCGCTGCGGTGTGTTTGGATGGTCTTACGGTGAGGACTCTAGTAGTCATAAACTGTGTGCAATTTACCACCTTAGTACACTCAAACGTCTCTTATCCGGACGCCTCAGATACGGGCACGTCTCTCTACCGGGCACGTTCAGCTTGAGTTCCTATGGCAAAATGCTTCGAATTGGGGGGTTTGAACGTTTTTTCCGAATGCGCAAGTGCTTATTTGTCACTGCCAACCTGTGTATTCCACACATTTTCATCCATGGATTCTCTCTGTAACCTGAACATGTGCAATATGTGCCAAATAAACTTCATCAAAATGATATGATACATGGTGGATGAGTTATCCTGAGATACAGGCAAATCTGAGATGCGGGCAGTGATCGGTCCCAAGTTGCCCGGATAAGAGATGTCCGACTGTACAATGTACTGCTGCGGACATCGGGATCCGTTTAAAAGTCAAGCGGCCACCGGGCACTGGCCTTGCAGCCGCGAGCACTGCTGGTTCGTTTTTACAGTGTGTACGTGTACAGTACAGCCCGCGTTTGTATTATGTAATTGTGTGGGTCGGTACGCTTGAAGCAGTACTCTCTGCCCCCCCCCCCCCCCTCCGTTAGAGTGACACAACTGGCCATTCTTACTGGGCTTATAAGCACATGTGCCTATATCCGGGCATAAGCGCAGCCTCACAAATAAGCGCTGGGCTTATAAGTGAACCTAAACGCAGTTTATCCCGTGACACACGGCGTCACGGACACCACAAAAACACCATGTTCACATAGTTCAATGTGCATTGCGGTATTCCACTATGTGCATAATTATCCAAGGCACCGGTACACTAGCAACTCAAGCGCGTGCGCCTATGTGTGAGACAAAATGACCCGCAAAAATAGCAAATAACGCAAAAACTCACTCGTAAGCGCATGTGCCTTTATGTGCGTCCCTACGGTACTACTCTGCAGCACCAACCAGTGACTGTGTTCAAGCTATTTTTGTAGGGACAGATTCAACCTGTACACAGAAACAGCGAGGACAGCCATGATTCCTTTTTGTCTTTGTTCGTCTTTCTGTGTGTCTTGCATAGGTGGTTATATGTCCTTGCTTCTCCTGGCCAAGCATCCAGAGTTGTTTCAGGTAGCGCGCACCTCTGCTTGGTCATGTTCACTTTGCTGCTCTTGTGACTGCTGCATTCACGTCACCACCATGACTGCAGCTGCTATTGTGGTGTGACTGCAGCTGCTATTGTGGTGTGACTGCAGCTGCTATTGTGGTGTGACTGCAGCTGCTATTGTGGTGTGACTGCAGCTGCTATTGTGGTGTGACTGCAGCTGCTATTGTGGTGTGACTGCAGCTGCTATTGTGGTGTGACTGCAGCTGCTATTGTGGTGTGACTGCAGCTGCTATTGTGGTGTGACTGCAGCTGCTATTGTGGTGTGACTGCAGCTGCTATTGTGGTGTGACTGCAGCTGCTATTGTGGTGTGACTGCAGCTGCTATTGTGGTGTGACTGCAGCTGCTATTGTGGTGTGACTGCAGCTGCTATTGTGGTGTGACTGCAGCTGCTATTGTGGTGTGACTGCAGCTGCTATTGTGGTGTGACTGCAGCTGCTATTGTGGTGTGACTGCAGCTGCTATTGTGGTGTGACTGCAGCTGCTATTGTGGTGTGACTGCAGCTGCTATTGTGGTGTGACTGCAGCTGCTATTGTGGTGTGACTGCAGCTGCTATTGTGGTGTGACTGCAGCTGCTATTGTGGTGTGACTGCAGCTGCTATTGTGGTGTGACTGCAGCTGCTATTGTGGTGTGACTGCAGCTGCTATTGTGGTGTGACTGCAGCTGCTATTGACGTGTATTGTGGTGTGACTGCAGCTGCTATTGTGGTGTGACTGCAGCTGCTATTGTGGTGTGACTGCAGCTGCTATTGTGGTGTGACTGCAGCTGCTATTGACGTGTATTGTGGTGTGACTGCAGCTGCTATTGTGGTGTGACTGCAGCTGCTATTGTGGTGTGACTGCAGCTGCTATTGTGGTGTGACTGCAGCTGCTATTGTGGTGTGACTGCAGCTGCTGCATGCACACCGTTATGGCTCCTTCTGCTGTGGCTCCTGCTACTATGGCTGCTCCCGTGGTTACGGTCACTGTCGCTGCTGCTCCTGTCACGGCTGTGGCTGCTGGTAGACCACTATTGCCGCTGCTACTGCTGCTGCTGATGCTGCTGCTGCTCTTGGTGTTGTTACGTATGTGCATTCGCTTTCGTCTATTGTCGTCGTTAATAGCTGTGGTTCTGTCTCCGGCGTGTGTATGTGTGTGTCTGTGTGCGTGGGTGCATGTGTGTGTGTGTGTGTGCATACATGTACATGACTGTATGTGTGTATGTGCATACTGTAGTGTGCGGTTGCCGGAGCTCCTTGCACCGACTGGACACAGTACGACACGGCGTACACAGAGCGCTATCTATCACTGCCCTCGCTCAACCGCAAGGTAGGTGCTAGGCTATAGGGTGGTGTCTTGGACAGGTTTCTTTTCTTTTCACCTGTCTAGGGGATTTCCCAACCACCAGTGCTCAGTAGGCTACAGTCAACTTTGCGTATAACGACACTCGGCGGGGCATCAGAAAAGTGTCCTTATTCGTGACGTGTCCTTATACCCGAAGTCTCAGTATATGTATTACAGGTAGATGTGACGTTGCTCTGGGCATGGAAATTCTGTCGTTATATCCACAGTCATTATTAGCGAAGTTGACTGTGTTGTGTTGTCAAGAAGAAACCTTTATTTTCCATCAATATCAGTGTATAAAGAAGCACATAAAAGGTGTGTGCGTGCGTGCATAGTGAGGGCACGTGCGTACGGGATATGTACACAGTGCAGACTACTGTACTACTACAACATCTCCCCCTCCCCCCCCCCCCCCCCTCACGGGCCGGGTTAGGCCCAGAAGGGATAAGGAAGACGGAATGCCGTGCGAAAAGAAAACGCGAGCAGGTTGCATGCAGCAAAGCCAGAGGAAGGGTAGGTGGGAAGCTGAAAAAATGGAACTGAATAAGCACACTTGAAGAATAGCGGACTGAAATCCAGCAAACAATGGAGTGTAACGAGCTGGAACTGGCAAAGTATGGAGAGAGAGAGAGAGAGAGAGAGAGAGAGAGAGAGAGAGAGAGAGAGAGAGAGAGAGAGAGAGAGAGAGAGAGAGAGAGAGAGAGAGAGAGAGAGAGAGAGAGAGAGAGAGAGAGAGAGAGAGAGAGAGAGAGGGGGAGGGAGGCAGGGAGGCAGGGACGGACGGAGAGAGAGAAAACAGTGGGGATAGAAGAAAGAGAAAACCAAACCATAAGATAACTGTGATGGCCTAAACAGCAATCAAGTGTTGGCGTGTGCGGCGAACAATGCCAGACGGTAACCGGATGTGATACGACCGCGGTTCGGAAGCAGTGCCGACGACTGATCCACGGATGCGACGACAGGGCGTAGAGATATCGATCACCTCGTCGCCTGAATGAAAGGCTGGTTGAATAACTGAGCGGTAACGCAGGTTGTACTGCCGAACGGACTTCTCCTTTTAAGACGAATCAGCAGCAGAAAACGACTCTGGGGTCACGGTGGACGGTTGAAGGAGCTCGGCGATGGTGGGAACGGCAGTAGCGAGACGCCCACCCATGAGGAGTTCCGCTGGACTGTGTTTTGTGAAGCCCAGTGGGGTACTGCGATAAGCCAGCAAGGCTATCTGAAAGTCAGCAGTTGTTGAGCATTTCTCCAGGAGAGAAAGCAGCGCTGTCGGCTAGAGCTCTTAGAGAACGCATTGGCGCTGGTCAGATGAGAGCCAGGCACATGAGTGATGGTGTAGCTGTAGCGAGCCAGACGAAGGCGAAAACGGTGCACTCGGGCAGGCAGCTCATGCAGTCGCTTGGTGCTCAGCAGAGGTACCAGGGGCTTGTAATCGGTCTCTATCAGGAAGGTGTGCATACCGAGCAGGTACATCTCGAAGCGACTCGTGGCCCAGGTGATTGCCAGTGCTTCCTTTTCAATTTGAGCGTAGTTGCGCTCGACTGGAGTGAGAGAGCGGGAGGCACAGGCTACAGGCCGCCAAGTTGTCTCAGGCGAGGACCGCTGGTAGAGCACAGTGCCGAGGCCATATGGCGATGCGTCTGCTGATAGCTTGGTACTGTTCTTGGGGTCGTACAGCTGCAGGCAGGTGGGCTTGCAAAGCTCCTCCTTGGTGGCCTCAAAAGCCGTCTGTTGGGCATGGTCCCAGGTCCAGGCTTTGCCTTTTGACAGGAGCTCTCTGAGCGGTTAGCTGATAGAGGCAAGATGCGGTGAAAATTTCCCCAGCTGATTAGCGAGACCCAGGAAACGACGCACGTCTGAGGCCGACTGCGGGGTTTTTAAGACCCGGATAGCTTCAGTCTTGCCGTCATCAGGTCTGATGCCGTCGGGAGTGAGGTGCACCCCGAGAAACGTGAGATCCGAGGCTGAGAATTGGCATTTAGCGGGGTTCAGCGTGAGACCCGCTAGGACCAGGCGCGTGAGAACGGCTCGTAAGCGGTGATCGTGTTCCTCCCGAGTGCGGCCGTGTACCAGAATGATGTCCATTTGACAGACGACACCCCCCCCCCCCCCTCCCCCCCCCCCCCCAAACCCTGTAGGATGGCAGACATCCGCTGCTGAAAGATTTCCGGTGCTGACGATATGCCGATTGAAAGCTTGGTGTAACAAAATCGACCCTGAGGTGTGATAAAGGTTGTCAGAAGCTGGCACACCTCGTCGAGTGGTATTTGCCAGAATCCACTGTTAGCGTCGAGCTTGGTGAAGACTGTGGAATCGCCGATCTGACCGAGTGTCTCGTCGACTGTAGGGAGCTGGTGATGTGAACGACGTACAGCATCGTTGACCGGTTTCAGGTCTCCGCATATGCGGACCGCACCTGTAGCATTCGGTACGGCGACCATAGCGGCGCACCAGTCTGTTGGCTCGAGGACACGCCGGAAGACGCCTGTTGGAGAACATGCACTCCACGCCGGCTTACGGCCAGTTCACTCACAACACCACAGAGCTTCCAAGGAAATTAGTTATTCTTCTAGATGGAAAATGAGAAACGTCTGTTATCACCACAAGTTGGAACTAACTCCACGCCAAGATCAAACGGAAGCTAAGCCAGAAAAAGAACCATGGCCAGCTTGCCAAAAGTAACGCGTAGCAAGCGTGCACGCAAGCACACTCCATACATAAGTCAGGATGCACACAAAAGCTACAAACTCGGAATAAGGGCAGCGCAGACCACGCCGAAACCGCAACTAGAAGATTGACCGCTGACAGGTCAATCAGTGAATGGAAAAGCATGCACCACCGCACGGACGCGCACTCACTAACCTACAATCAATACACGGAAAATGGCATCACGCAGAAGGTATACCAAGCAGAGCATGCACAAGTAACAATACAGTTCCAGCCAGTGGCTGCCACGTTACCATAAACTACAACATCTCCCTCCCTGGTAACATCACCTTAAAAAGACAATAATAGGCAAGCACATCGAAAGAAGCAAAGAGAAACGAAAGGACATGAAAGTTCTGCGAACCATCACCAGCTACTAGTTCTCAGTCGTATCTCACTGGAGCCCTGATACCAGCTCTGTTCCGGAGCACATATCTTGGCTCTTCAGCTCTAGGCACACCTGCGACTAGCTCACCGGGCTCTAGCCGCATCGGGTAACCACCGTCATCCTCGCTCGCATCATCTGGCTGAGGCGGCTCAGGCAGGTCTACAGTAGGATTGGCTGCGGCACGCTTCAGCAGCTCTACGTTGACGATCTTCTCCACCCTGGGGTCTTCCACTTTCTGAACGACTACAGTCGACTCCGACAACACCTTCTTGACTCTCCAGCCAAGCTGAAACTTCGGGAGGCGTTTCTGCGCGCGGCTGGTCATCTTCATCATCACCACGTCACCAGGCCCGTAACAGCAACTTGCTTTGTCGGCGTCTTCTTGGGAATCAGCTGACGCCATTTCTTCATCGATCAAATCACGAATGGCAGCTGCTTGACGCTGCAGCTCAGCCGTCCATGCTGGCAAGGTGTACAGGGGCTGTTGGGCCTCTACAACAAGACCACGGGGCTGCCAACCAGTCATCGCTAGCTGAGGCGAAACTCCCGTTGCTCCATGCGGTCGGACGCGATAGAAGTACAGCAGCATTGACAGGTCGGTCTTCCAGTCGTTGGACTGCGAGTGTACTTTGCGAATCAGAGTCAACAGGGTCCGGTTGAATCTCTCCACGCTTCCTTGTGACTGAGGGTGTCGCACTGCACCGTGCTTGACTTCCACTCCAAACGCCAAGTACAAGGCGTCCATGACAGCATTGACGAACTCTGTTCCATTGTCTGATCTGACCACCTCCGGCGGACCCCATCGGCAGCACACAGACACAAACGCCTCGGCAACTGACTTAGCGTCATGGTGCTTCAAAGGTATCACCTCCACATAGCGCGTGAACATATCCGTACACACCAAGACGCAATGGAACCCAGCTCGGCTCGGTCCTAGCTCCAAGGTATCAATCGCCACAACTTGCCATGGGCGCGCCGGCACTTCGGGACGTGTCGGCGAAGCATGACCACCAGCAGCAGGGTTTGCAGCGGCACAACTGTCGCAAAGACCGACGAACTCCTGGCACTTCCTTGCCATCCCAGGAAGGTAGCACTGCTGACGCATCATCTCATGGACCACCTCCCATGATCCGTGGCCAGTGTTCTCATGGGCGATTCGGAGGGCATCTTGCTCTAGCAAGCTCGGAATCACGGGCACCTCGCATGCTTCATTGGCAGGCGGCAACTTGATTGACCGATACAGCACGCCATCCCGCACTCTCAGCTGTGGTGCCACCTTCTGAAACTGCTTCGCCCTAACTGTCTGCATACCGTTGACATCCTCCACCGTCTGCTGGATGGCAGTATCTGCTCCCTGCTGGTCCCGGATGATGTCGAAGGCAAGTGGGGCAGAACTGTGGACACCTGCACACGCACTGCTCTGGGTCGCCGCCGCAACCACCGGTGACTCGGGCATCTTGAGCCAGGATGCCGGCACACGGGTCAGACGGTCAGCCAGGTTTTTCTGTGAAGGCACCCACTCGACAGATATCTTCAACTTGTAAACCTCGACCAAGTCGTCAATCAGCTGCAATCTACGCTCTACAAGAGCTCTGTAGAGGCCATTCACCTTCACTCGCTGGATGTTGCCCAAGAGAGACTTTAGCCATCCATGCACCGTCTTCGAATCGGTCATGACTCGAACGTTGGCCACTCTGTGATCCACGACAGCAGACAAGCCACGAAGGACGGCGTCTAACTCGGCAACGTTGATGTGCCGCTTGTCTGACTTAGGCCTGAGCCAACAGTGATCCTCAATCACGGAGCCATCTTCGCTGATGACAACACCTAGCGCCAGGTTGGATGCATCGCACCATAGGGACACGCCACCAGTCGACTTGACTGTCCACTTGCCGTTGACGGGATCCTCTCGTGAAACTTGATCCTCCACCGCACGACACAACTTCTCGAGCGCAGCTGAGACAGGCTTATCCCAAACCGCAGCATCTTCACAGCTCACTCGCTTGATGTAGCTACAGCACGGTCGCAGCCACGATGCAACAGGGTAATGACTCGTCAATCGACCGCACCAGGAGAACACTTCTCGCTTCGTCGGCTGCTCTGGCAACGTCAGATCCATGCCATCACGGCGACGCCACATCACGTCTTCACTCGACGTAGCAACCGATAGTTGCATGCCAAGCACCCTTGCGCCGGCAAGTACCTCTGGTGGCTTCGTCGGTAATCCGTACCGACTCAGCGCCGCAGTCACCTCCGGAAGTTGTTCGGGCGGAGCAACGACATCGTCGACATAGTTGTCTGCATCAGGAAAGTCGCACAGCGCAAACTTCACGATGGCGTCCATGACTTTCGGAGCTATGCTGAGACCAAATGCCATTCGTTCCATGACATACGTGACTCCATTGAATACCACGGTCTGATACCGAACGAGGCTGGGGTCGACGTGAACTTGTAAAAACGCCTTCTTGATATCGACGACTACCTGGTCACCGCCACGGCGTCTCCACTCCCTGATCTTCTGGTCGCATGCAGGCGCGTCGCCTCCAGGATGGGAAAGAATCGCCTCATTCAAACGACGGTAGTCTAAGCAGGGACGTACAGGCGTAGACGCCTTGTGTCCTTGACACACAGCCATTAGAGGGAGGATCGCACCTGACTTGCCGTGTCGATCTGGATCATGGGGCACCATCCAACCATGGTCGATCCACGACTGCACCTCCTTCTGGTACTGTTGCTCCTGCTCTGCAGAGAGCTTCTTCCGTGAGTACTGTGTCACTCCGGAGCCAATGCTATCAGTCGGCTCTACACCACCTCCCCAGACCCAGGCGACGGTCCACGACTTTGCACTATTGTCCCAGCGCACCTTGAAATCGGCTGAACTGAGGGTGACACCATCCGAATCTCGCTCAACAGAGATGTGCCTCGAGAGCTTCTGCTTCGGCGCTCGTTCAGCATGGCCAGCTGCGGCAGCCGCTACATCGGGCCCTTTTCCGAACCGAATAGCACTCGCCGAGCCATTCTGGTAGCGTATCTCAAGACCACCAGCCGCGCTGGCAACGTCATTGCCAAGAATCAGGTCAGCATCCACTCCCTCATGCTTTGAAACTACCAGGAAGTCCACGCACAGTTCCGGAAGCTGAACTATATCATCATGTTGCTGGACAGTCGCAGCAACAGATCCAACTGACTCCAGGGACGTGCCGTCGATGCCGACCACCCAGTCAGTTGTCGATTCCACCTGATCAGCCAGGCCCACGGCAGTTACTACACTCTCTTTCATCAGAGATCGCGTGCATCCAGTATCCACAACCGCTGCGACTGATATCCAAGAGTCATCATGGCCCTTAACACACACATCAACTTTCAGCAGCTTAGAGCTCTGCCCACCAGTTGATATTGGGATTCCGTCAGCATCAGTAGACACTCCAGCCTGACAATGCCCAGCACTCACAGCCACTGAAGCAGACTCAGTCTTGGCCTTTGGACAATTTCGCCTGATGTGGCCATACTCTTTGCAAGAGTAACACTGTGGCCCTCGTGACTTGCCAGTGGTGTGGCTGTTGCCCTTGGCCTTAGGGCAATTCCTTCTTACATGACCAGGCTCCTTACATGAATAGCACTTGACAGCTGCAGCCACGGACTTCCCTCCACTGACACTTATAGTATCATCGACGGACATAGCCCTGACACGTTTGATCATATCGGTAAGAGTCATGCTACCGCTAGAGCACTGGATTCTCACCTCTCTGGCGAAGTCTCTGGGCAAGCCCCCAACAAACTGTTCTAACAGCATCGGATCTTTGTCGTCCGCAATGTTGTGACCAGAGCTCTTCAACAGCCTCTTTAGCTCCGCCGCATACTCGTCTACTGACTCTGTGGATCCCATGGAACGCGCTTTGAACAAGCGGTAACACTCCGCAGCAGAAGGAGCAAAGGCTTCAGTCAACACCTTCTTCACCTCGTCAGGTTTCTCCTTGTCCGAGTCGGGCATGGCGTTGAATACAGTATACGCAGCCTTATCCAAGAGCAACGGCAAGTTTGCCATCTGCTCTTTGCCCGTATCCCACTTGTGGGATTTCGCCAGGATCATAAACTTTGACCAGAATACATCTAGGTCGTCACCTCGCCCTCGGTACGGACGCATAAATCCATCCAACTTCACAGACATTTTATTCTCATGAACAAACACTAAGACTTTCTATTTCCTTCCGACTCCACAAAAGTCCTACTCTGCAACACGTTGTCCCGGGTTTCGGCACCAAAAGCTGTTGGAGAACATGCACTCCACGCCGGCTTACGGCCAGTTCACTCACAACACCACAGAGCTTCCAAGGAAATTAGTTATTCTTCTAGATGGAAAATGAGAAACGTCTGTTATCACCACAAGTTGGAACTAACTCCACGCCAAGATCAAACGGAAGCTAAGCCAGAAAAAGAACCATGGCCAGCTTGCCAAAAGTAACGCGTAGCAAGCGTGCACGCAAGCACACTCCATACATAAGTCAGGATGCACACAAAAGCTACAAACTCGGAATAAGGGCAGCGCAGACCACGCCGAAACCGCAACTAGAAGATTGACCGCTGACAGGTCAATCAGTGAATGGAAAAGCATGCACCACCGCACGGACGCGCACTCACTAACCTACAATCAATACACGGAAAATGGCATCACGCAGAAGGTATACCAAGCAGAGCATGCACAAGTAACAATACAGTTCCAGCCAGTGGCTGCCACGTTACCATAAACTACAACACGCCCAAGCTCTCCATGCGCTGCAGCTCAGCTTCTACCTGCGGGCGAATTGGCAGCGCCACGTTGCGGGCTGTGTAGAGGCAGAACGGTTTGACACCGTCGGTGAGAGGAATCGAGTAGGGCTCCTTGAGGCTGCCTAAGCCGGAAAACAGGGACGGAAAGTCGGCGAGCACGGCTTCCGGAATCCTGTCAGCTGCAGAGGGTGCTACTGGAACAGGTTCAGAGCCGGGAGGGATAACTGCCGCGCTCTGCATGGAGTTTGGCCCGTCGCTTGGCACATTGGAAGACAGCTTACGTCTGGAGGAACGCCGTCATTAGAGAAGAGGGGCTTGATAAGACCCAGCGAAAGTGAGTCGCTGCAGCTAAGCAATGCGCGACGGAGCCCTTGTACGATGCACACGGTGATAACGGCGCTGGCACCGGATGCCGGGTATGTCACAGACGCTGTGAACAGGCCAACGGTGTGGAGCGGTGTGTTGGCGGCGCTGATCAGCCGTTTGGTGCATGGCTTGAGCACTGGAGCATTCTGAAGCTGGTGATACAGAGCGTCTGAGATAGTGGAGACATCTGCTTCCGTATCAATCTTGAAGTCGACACAGATGCCCTGTACCAGCACTCCGACTCTCCACGACCGTTGGCTGGACTTGACGTCGCCCACGAACAGAGCTTCTGTGTTGAGAAGCGCCTCAACTCCTTAGAATGCGAGTAAAAAGTCACGAAGTTTTGGTTTGCACAGTAAGCACAATCATGTATTATCTGTTGAGTGTGCATGTTGCATCAAGCATTCTCAAAGTGACCACGATGTACAGTCAGACCTCGCTTATCCGGTCCTCGCTTATCCGGATCCCTCGCCATCCGGATCCCTCGCCATCCGGAAGAAAATCGCTGGTTACCGATTTACAGCATTTGCCATGCATACTGTAAAAGCAGAAATTTTCGGTGGTGTTTTATTTTCGGTAACTTCGGTGCCGACAATTTTTACCGAAAATAAAACGCACCGAAAATTTCGGTACAACCGATACTGTATACATGTAGTACTAGTACACTTACCTGGAGAACGGGTTTTACCGAAAATTTCCCTCTACCGAACCGGCGATTTTGGAGAATACCGAAAATATTACACCACCGAAAATGTCCGCTTTTACAGTAGATACAGTATGTGTGTTTGATTATCCGGTTCCCTCGCCTATCCGGATATTTTGTGGAAAGCGGATGTGTGCGGTTGTGCGAGGTCTGATTGTACCAGCGGATGATGACTCCTGTCTTGGTATTGAGACACTGGTCAGCTGCTGCTTTGATGTCTCTAAGAGGTATGCACCGTGTGTCTGTGTTGTTGGGGCTGTGTGTGTGTGTGTGTGTATGTGTGTGTGTGTGGTGTGTGTGTGTGTGTATATGTGTGTGTGTGTGTGTGTGCATGCGTGTGTGTGTGTGTGTGCATGCGTGCGTGCGTGCATGTGTGTGTGTGTGCGTGCATGCGTGCATGCGTGTGTGTGTATGCGCGCGTGTGTATGTCTGCATATGTTCGTTTGTGTGTGTACAACCTAGGGCTATAACCAGTCCAGCGTTCTGCCGTTTGCCAAGCATTTCCCAGACATGTAAGTTTTGGATAGTGCCGATCTTGATCCTCGCTCCACTCCGAGCTGCTTTCAGAAATATAAGCAATGAGGTTTGCGTGAAAGTGCATGAAGCTAACAAAACTTCAAAGTTGCTAATGACATGGAAGTGCTTCTTCGAGGCGTGGTGATTTGTTCTGGGAAGGTTTCAGAAATTTGCATAGCCTGTGATGAGTTAGTGGAAATTCGGCCGGGTTTCAGGCAAATTTCCTACGCTTTCAGGGCTCACAGTTCGTATGGCAGTCGGATTCCGTCAACGTGGAACACTGCAAGATTTCAATCATTTCAGTTGCATTTCAAAGTTGGCTATGTTCACAAGCAGCGACCGAGTTTCTACAAGCCATTGTGCGTCAGTGAACAGATCACATCAGTGCTGCCGCCTCTGCCACAGGAGAGTTCATAGAAACAAGGTGGACTAACGAAGTTGGTCAAACGACTGCCAATAGCAATGAACGAGAGAGCTTGGAAGCTCAGGGCCCTACGCTATGCTTTTTTGCCTTGATGACCTAGACAAAAAAAAGCATAGGGATGTTATAAATTCTTTTAAAAATTCCTTTTTTTAAGACATAACCTGGGATTCGAACCCGCACTATCGCGCGCCCTGCATGCATCCCCCGATACACTTCGCATACATACTAATTCTTCCAAGTTGCTTCACATTATGATCTTGCATTTGAAAGCCCTATTTGAATATGCATTGTGGCCAGCCGTCTTTGATGGTACGGTACGGTAGGGGATAGGTACGGGACAGGTACGATCGAGGGTAATACGACACCGTCTCCCGTACCGTACCGTACCATCAAACACAGCTGGCCACATACAGCTGCCCGCAATATTCAAATAGGGCTTCCAAACGCAAGATCATAACGTGAAGCAACTTGGAAGAATGGGTATGAATGCGAAGTGTATGGGGGAATGCATGTAGGGCGATAGTGCGGGTTCGAATCCCAGGATATGCCTGAAAAAAAATAGGAGAATTGAAAAATGTATAACATCCCTATGCTTTTTTTGCCGTCAGATACGGGATAGCGCCAGGCGTGACACAAACAAACAAACAAACACACAAATACCAAATTAAAGCTGTGTGGACCCTGGCTAGCGCCAGACGTTACTGAAGTAACGTCTTCTGCATAGCTACGGGAATAAATTACTAATGTGAAATGAAGGGTGATAGCCAACCACGGCAAATATCCAAAACAGTAAAAAAATTAAAAGGCATGAACGAAACAAGAGTGGAAAATACCCCCGGGTTAACTTAGGAAAGTACAGATGACGATAGTAGAGGCAGGGGCAGTTAGCCAGAGATACACGTTGAAATTCCTTGATATCAATGCATGATTTAAGGCTTAGAGGCCGAGCAGACCATAGGAGTATGCGGAGAAGAAAGGAGACTTCAAGTACAGGGAGGATCGGACACGTGGTAGGGTTAGCGCATTACGAGTATAGCCATTGCTAGAAAACCAGTTGTATGCATGAGTATGCCGTGGAACCCGCGCGAGCCGTATTTTATGGACAAGGCTGCGAAGATGTTGCTGGTGCCGGTCAACAAGGGGGGATGAAGAAGCAAGAGTATAGAGAGATTCAGATGAGAGTGTTGGGTCTTTACGGAAAATTATTATTAAGAGGAAGCGCTGATGTACTTGTAGCTTTCGAAGAAGCCGTTTTGACAGGCCACACCAAGCAGTATCACAATAATCAAATATGGGTAAGATATAGGCCTTAAAAAATAATTGTCTGCAACGATCAGGTAGATATTGACAGTGAGGGTGTAGAATAGCTACTGCAGAGCTGGTTCGCTTGCATACGTAACTGACTTGTTGGCTGCAGGAGAGCTGGCTGCCTATGTTAACCCCAAGGTGCTTGTGCTGGTCCACAATAAGGATGGGGGTAAGATGACCGGGAAAATGCAGTGGTTGAGCGGGAGGGGAAGGGGAAATGTCTTGGACACTGCATTGTAGAGAATGCAGTCAGGCCTCGCTTATCCGGTTCTCTTTTATCCGGATCCCTCGCCATCCCGCAAACTTCTCCTTCAGACACATGCCCCAGATCCTCGCGTTACAGCTCTCATTGGCATTTTGCGTAGCACCCATCAGGCAGCGGTCCAGCAATTCTTTGCTGGCAAGCTTGATGTAAATTGGCTTGATCACGTCGAACACAGCTTTGGGAGGGCTGGCTTGTGCTGGTAGGAAGGCCTTGCTCCAGCCTCGACCTGCTGGTATTAACACCAGCTCCTCGCTCCTTTGGGGCACCAATCGTGCTGTGGCTTCTCGTCAGTTGAGCATCTGTGCGTAACACCACCCCAAATAGCCTTGGCCATGCCCTGCAGGTCATTGCTGTGCTCCCTGATCGCCCAGCCATAGTAGGTTTGCAGTTGGTCAGGACTTGTCTCTCTGTGGAGCGGTAAAGTGTATGTGTTCGCGTCTCAATTTTGGACGGTAAAAGGGATGTGTTCGATCGCGTCACTCTTATCTTGGGGACGGTAACAGTTCTTGATTCGCGTCTCTCTGGGACGGTAACATTGCTTGATCCGCGTCTCTCTGGGACGGTAACCTTGCTTGATTCGCGTCTCTCTGGGACGGTAACATTGCTTGTGGCACCCATCAGGCAGCGGTCCAGCAATTCTTTCCTGGCAAGCTTGATGTAAATTGGCTTGATCACGTCGAACACAGCTTTGGGAGGGCTGGCTTGTGCTGGTAGGAAGGCCTTGCTCCAGCCTCGACCTGCTGGTATTTACACCAGCTACTCGCTCATTTGGGGCACCAATCGTGCTGTGGCTTCTCGTCAGTTGAGCATCTGTGCAAAACACCACCCCAAATAGCCTTGGCCATGCCCTGCAGGTCATTGCTGTGCTCCCTGATCGCCCAGCCATAGTAGGTTTGCAGTTGGTCAGGACTTGTCTCTCTGTGGAGCGGTAAAGTGTATGCGTTCGCGTCTCAATTTTGGACGGTAAAAGGGATGTGTTCGATCGCGTCACTCTTATCTTGGGGACGGTAACAGTTCTTGATTCGCGGCTCTCTGGGACGGTAACATTGCTTGATTCGCGTCTCTCTGGGACGGTAATATTGCTTGATTCGCGTCTCTCTGGGACGGTAACATTGCTTGATCCGCGTCTCTCTGGGACGGTAATATTGCTTGATTCGCGTCTCTCTGGGACGGTAACATTGCTTGATCCGCGTCTCTCTGGGACGGTAACATTGCTTGATTCGCGTCTCTCTGGGACGGTAACATTGCTTGATTCGCGTCTCTCTGGGACAGTAACATTGCTTGATTCGCGTCTCTCTGGGACGGTAACACTGCTTGATTCACGTCTCTCTGGGACGGTAACATTGCTTGATCCGCGTCTCTCTGGGACGGTACAACTGGAAAGGACTCGCACATCATGTGGCGGTATAATCATTGTTACATGGACTGGTTAGTTGAGTGCGTGCTTCCAGGGTATACAGTATTTTTGGGTCTGCTCCAGCAAACTGATTGCTTGGTCGGTACGGGGGTGGACATGACTGGGATGGGGAATGAAAAGGCTAGGAAACTTTGTTGTCAGAACTGTGAGAAAGCGGTTGTACGGAAGCTTCAGTGTGGCGAAATGTTGGGTGATCCAGAACTGTGTACTGCATATATCTGGACCTACATGGAGGAACAGGGAGGGTTGTGAGTCCTAGGCTTTTGATTGATTCTTTTGTCAGTCAGCCGCCCTTTGCCAGACAGGCCCTTGCCGTCAGCGAGCTTCTGGCCCTTCATCGTCCGTCGGAGGTCGTGCAGCCTGGTACCCAGTCTCTTCTGCAATCTGCACGTATCCAACACACTCCGCCTTGACAATTGGCATTCCATCATAGAGATCCGCTGCACACACACACTGCAAGGTAGCCTTTTGAGTCACTATCGATTTGCTAACAGCATCCATTGGTGTTATTTAAACGCAGACGGTTGTACAGGCTACGGCAGATTCATGATGCCACGAAATTTTGCCAGAGCTGCACATCCACAGCCAATTCTTCTCGCTGCCAGTACTGATCGCCTGTTGACATCAAACATGGGGCCATGTTTTTCGGGTCAGCGGAGCAGAGAAAGTGCTGCTGCATGATGAACATTCTAATTTCAATGTGCAGCCAAGGCCGTATTCCAGGGATGACGAAATTCGAACACTTCCCAGCTTGCAAGTGCTGCAAACAGCAACGGAGGACAAAATATGTTGCAGGCAAGCTAAATCTACAATCCTGCTGCCACGGTTAGGCCCTTGTCACACGGCGTTCAAAAGTCGCGTTTGCGTCTGCGTTTTCTTCGGTTTTTGACGGTCGCCTAGGAAATGCCATCACGTGACGTTATCGCGAGCGCGTTGGTTTCCAGACGCACAGCCGCAGACGCAAACCAGGGGGGGGGGGGGGGGGGGTGGTCAAAACCAAATCGCGTAAACGCAGATCGGACTTTCTTTATCGCAGCACTTCCTGCATTGTTTTTGAGTGTTTTCAAGTGATTCTCAAGTGTGCTTTTCAAATCTTCATTTCCATGTAGTTGCTGAGGCCGGCGAGGGTACTTCTACTACATGTACTGATTAATTGATTTTGGATTCGCGAGGCATGGAGCTGATGCGAGCTCGTGGCTGAGGTTGCGCTGACTAGTTGGCGGCGGCTAGCCTAGCTGGACGATGTCACACGGCCTCAACAACAGAACAAACAAACAAAACAAACAAACTGCCACCCCAACACAGGCAACGCAACGGCTGCAGTCTTCCCATCGACTCCCATTCCCCCAGCACCACTGACAAAGGACATAGGAGCAGAAACAGAACACTTCTCGATCTCAGGGAAATAAATTCAACATCCACGGCCACCTGGAGATCGATTCCCCACATTTTTGTATTTTCCCGCGCACACAGATTTTGACGCAAACGCTGAAAATCACAAGTATAGTATGATATCACGTCTTGCGTTTTTCAATCTCAAACGCAAACGCAGACGCAAACGCGACTCAAACAAACGCAGTGTGATAACGGCCTTATGTTTCCACGAACTTGGATAGAATGACCCAACACACATAAGGAAGTGCCTTACACACACTTGAGAGGGACGAAAAGCGTTTCTTCTGTAACTCTGAGTTTCACGGTTTTAACCGATCATCAGACAGCAACTTGCCTTATGTACAGACAGACTACATATTAGCGCTACAGACTACATAATTATTACTAATTCCCGTAGCAATGCAGAAGACGTTACTTCAGTAACGTCTGGCGCTAGCCAGGGTCCACACAGCTTTAATTTGGTTGTGTCACGCCTGGCGCTATCCGTATCTGACGGCAAAAAAGCATAGGATGTTATAAATTTTTCAATTCTCCTTTTTTTCAGGCATATCCTGGGATTCGAACCCACACTATCGCCCTACATGCATTCCCCCATACACTTCGCATTCATACCCATTCTTCCAAGTTGCTTTACGTTATCGGGCAGCTGTATGTGGCCAGCTGTGTTTGATGGTACGGTACGGTACGGGAGACGGTGTCGTATTACCCTCGATCGTACCTGTCCCGTGCCGATCCCCTACCGTACCGTGTCATCAAAGACGGCTGGCCACAATGCATATTCAAATAGGGCTTTCAAATGCAAGATCACAATGTGAAACAACTTGGAAGAATTAGTATGTATGCGAAGTGTATCGGGGGATGCATGCAGGGCGCGCGATAGTGCGGGTTCGAATCCCAGGTTATGTCTTAAAAAAAAAAGGATTTTTTTAAAGAATTTATAACATCCCTATGCTTTTTTTTTGTCTAGGTCATCAAGGCAAAAAAGCATAGCGTAGGGCCCTGAGCTTCCAAGCTCTCTCGTTAGCACTGCAGACTACATATTAGCGCTAGGTAACTGAGCGTGCCAATTGTACTAATAATGTGATACAATTGATCCATGTACTCTGAATACAATATCACACCAGCCACGCAGAGACGACTCTGAACACAGGGAGCTATCACTGAGGTCTGAGTGTCTTGCCAATTATGGCACTAGGGTGGTTGTAGTTGAAGCTTAGGACATTCTCTGCCATTTGATGCAACCTGGCTTTGTGCTGGACTGGTGTGTGGGTGTGCGCGCACTTGCGTTTACGTATGTCTGTATGTGTACATGTGTGTGTGTGTGTGTGTTTTGTGTGTGTTTGTGTGGGTGCATATGTGTGTACGCATGTTTGTACGCGTGCGTGCTTGTCTACGTGATTGTATTTACGTGTGGGTGTGTACGCGCATGTCACGGTGTGTGTGTGTGTGTGTGTGTGTGTGTGTGTGTATGCACTGGATCATGTATTTACAGTGAAGACCGCTTGCTGATCATCCATGGCCTGGCAGATGAGAACGTTCACTTTACGCACACCGAACGCCTAGCCAAGGCACTAACGTCTCGCCGTAAACCGTATCGCATCATGGTGAGTTCTTTCCGCTGTGTCATTTTTACTGGGCACTGAACCTAATGCATAAAACCCTACATCATCGCACTTCTCCTTTTGGCACGAGTCGCCATCGTGAGAATAAAGAATAACAATCGCCGAAGCAAGTGGTCTCTTTGCTGTAAATTCAATAATCTCAACCAAATGTCCGGCCACGAGTCATCATCAGGACACAGCCTACTCTTAGGAAGAGGTGGGGGGGGGGGGGGGGGGGAGTAACAGGACCACACAAGAATGGGAAGAGTTGGGTCTCCAAGAAGGAACATGTGCTGGTGAGGCAAGCCAACTACACCGCGCTGTGGTCTTGGCGTTATCGCGAGCTTCCACACCATGGGCTATCGGAGAGTTTCTAGGGAGAGGAGAGAGGACAGAATGAAGAGGGATTATTGGAAGAAAGTGAGGATGCCCACCGCAGGGTGACATGTTGCATGGTATATCTGATGCGGTGGATAATGTAACTCCGACGAGCAGACTAGCAACCAGCCAAGACAGCTATGGCTCTCTCTCTCTCTCCCCTCCCTCCCTCTCCCCTCTTCTCCTTCCCTATCCAAAGAGTGTTGGTGAAAAAACGCACCATAGGCAGCTGCTGATGGATCAGTGCAAGGGGATCTTGAAGTAAAATGTGGTGGACGGTTCCAATTGTTTTACCTTTACTTGTCCTATCTGGGAGAGTCACAGCGGCATCAGTGCGATTGATCATGCCATGGCTGGATCAACTGTTTGCCCACCAATGCATGTTAACTAATGCGGTTATGTACCCCGCTGCATCCTACTCAAAGTACGAAAGACTACGGTCCGGTGTGGCCCGACCGATCAAAATCTGCTTCCGCCTGTGTTGCCTGCAGTACTGTCAGGCGTCGAAGAATAGAGCGCCTCAGAACGACAGCTAGAATTCCATTAAAGTTTGGCAGGTCATTGCCCAGTGAAACTTTGGGAATGGTCTCATAATGCATCTGGCCACGCGCACAAGAAAATTTAGAGCTCTGTGATGGCTAGAAATGGTAAAATCAGTTTCCAGAAAAAAGACGGGCATATCGCACATACTGAGTATCTACAAAACTCAAGCCACAAGGGCAGGCAGAAAAATCTATAAAACAAGGGCAGTCATGCTTGTGCAGATGTACAGTCAGACCTCGCTTATCCGGTCCTCGTTTATCCGGATCCCTCGCCATCCGGAAGGAAATCGCTGGTTACCGATGTGCAGCATATGTTATGCATACAACATAACCGGACCTCGCGATCCGCATACCGGTGCATGATTTTGTATACAAACTGGTTAAAATGTGTACAAAAAGCTTCGTCGTATCCGGTTGCATGTGGCTTGCAGAAACTAGAATCAGGGAGTTGTACAGGCAAATGAGGTCCTTGACCTGCTGGGTGCATGTGGACAGCACTCAGTTGCATGCACTTGTCATTTTTCTCGCTTGTTTTACATGTTGTGCACGCTAGTTGTACTGCATAGGACCCGTCTACATGTATGTACAATGTCACTGCTTTTGACATGCCACATGCAAATACAGTATGTGTGTTCAGTTATCCGGTTCCCTCGCCTATCCGGATATTTTTGTGGAGAACGGATGTGTGCAGTTAAGCGGGGTCTGACTGTACTATGGGTAGAGGCAGGTGCCAAACCTCAAATTTTAGTGAAAGAGAGAACATGAAGGAACACCCAGAACAGCCAAAAGTAGAATTAACGGAACGGCAAAAGTTCTTACAAATCTTCAAGCAAGCCAAGCCAAAAGATGGTCAGTTTCTTAGTACAGATGTGAGGCTCAGCACCTTGGAAATTGTGTGTAGATTGGAAAAATGCCCTACATTGTGGCAGTGTGATGCACCAATCTATTATAATGGCTCACAGCAGCCGCTTTACATGAAAATAGGCCTAAAATCAGCAAAAAAAAGGGACTCTTCAAAACCCCCGGCAGCATATGTTTCGCCTTCCGTCTCCTTCGTGTGGTCCTCGAAGCCCTTCTTCACAGCTCTCCGGTGTTTCCTTGCTTTCTTCTCTTTGTCTGACATCTTCCTCTTTCTGTGGTACTCTTTGTCTTGGTCTAGCATAGCCAGATTCTTCTTCAATTGTGCACCCACTGAACAGCCCATGCGACGCACAACATCAGCCAGGCTCCGATGTCCTTCATTGAAGAGCAACACTGCTAGGTACACAGCAGTTTCAACAGTCTGTGAGCCACAGAACATCTCTTTCCGGCATAAGTGCCAAATCATGGAGTTCAAGGCTTCATTCACATTCTGTGTGGCGCCACGGGTGCAGCGTTCCAGCAGCTGTAAGTCAGTCAGACGCATGTACAGTGGCTTCATTTCTTCAAACACAGCAAGTGGTATGGTATTGCTGGAAGAGACTGCACCTGTGCTTGCTTCACTCTGGCTGGACTGGGCTTTTTCTCGTTGATATCTGCACCATGACGTGCTGGCTTCTGGACAGAACTGATGTCGCTTTGTGAGGTCTGGGAAGAGAGAGAGAGAGAGAGAGAGTGGAAAAAAAAAGATTAGATTGTGATATTTTAAATTAAATTATTCTCCACGTTCGTAAATACGTGTACATTGGTCAACTCTTCGCCATTGGCGTACCTAAATGTTTTAGTGGTGATTGTAACAACGTTGACCCACCCTCCTTCAACGCGCTCCCTGCTGATGACGACCACCTCGTCATATCCGATTAGTTCTTGGTGTTGGTTTACAGGCCCTTGCTGCTCCTGCAGCTCACGCTGTGGCAAACTGATGCCCAGATAGCACGAGCCATACCTGATGTTGAGCCAGGATTGCTGCGGATGGCTGCGCCATAATAGTTCTGCAGAGAATCTATTTTGCTGCCAGTCAATCTTCCTTTTCCGCCAATGGGCTTCCCATCAGATAGTGGCTTTGACCCACACTTCTGCTTCAGAGTACGTAAGTTGTGGCTCTGAACACGCTTTTGAACGTAGCCAACACACTCCTCCTTATCAATACTCATGTCACCATATGGCTTGAGCTGACATACACTGCGGTAGGCCTTCGAATCTCCATCACCAATGTAGCTAGTGTACTTCAGGCCATTATTCTGTTCAGAGCGACTCCACAGCAGTTTGACAGCCTCTGCTTCCATAGCTGGTGATGACACGGAAGTATTGGCTTGACAGTCAGCAGTATGCGTCACTTTCCATGCATCAAAATCAGCCTGTGAAAGCTTGCCACTGGTAAGCCGGGCTTCTTTGGCAGTACAGCGAGTGCAGTGACGAGACAGCACCTCCACACCGATTACCTTCTGCACATCCCAACCAATTACCGACTGTACGCCATACAGGCATGAGTACCCTCTTCTCATCCAGGTGCCATCTGTACTGACAGCGATGTTGGCGGGTGACGTTTCTCCGCTGGCGGTGCGATTCGTCAGCACAGAATAAGCAGCACGCTTCATGCTTTGCTGGGCTGCAGCCTTGGCCGCATGGTGAAGCTTGTCGCTGTGACGTTGAAATTTTTTCTTCGTGACTGGTCCCGGCAGGTGTAGGAAAGCTGACCATGTTTAAATCCTTCTCGCCCTCTGCCAAGCAGCCGCATGCCCAGCACACTCATTCGGTTCAGATCAAAATGATGTGTGGCCTTCTCCACAGCGTGTGACGAGGTAACATTGCCACAGTGATCGCAGGTCACTTCCACTGTTGATACTAGGCCGGCACAAGCGCTCTCAGTCAACAATAGCTTTCCTTTCTTGCCAGAATTACAAATGGCAGATGTGTGCAATAAATTCTGCAACTGAGACAAGCTGAAAATTCGATTGCCACGCTCCGAAGTGTCATCGGTATCGCCCTCACTCTCAGATGACTCCTCTTCAGCACTCGCCAACTCCCATTCCTCCTCGCTCCATGGATTTGTAGAATCGTCACTGGAGACACTTGTACGCTCGTCACCATCAGCTGATGCGTTCTCTATCAAATTCTCACCACTTGCAGGCTCAGTCTCGACAGCCTGGAATTGGTTTCCACGGAACTGCTGCTTCCTTGCTCGATGGTGAAGGGACTTCTTCCTTTTATTTTCCATAGGAGCACAGGTTTGGAAAGAGAAGAGACAACTCGTAGATCTACCCAGCTGCAGATCAGAGACAAACAGCAAAGAAGCTGCAAGAATTTTTTTTGTTGAAAACTGCAGATGATCATGATGGCCGCTAGCTGTTCGCGCGATCAGGTACGCCACTGCACACTGTACTGGGCCGTTCTCGCACGATGAATCAGGAAATTTGCAACAAACCGGTCCCGTGTACCTGGTGAATACCAAGAGCAATGTGGGGGAACCAACGGCCGGCGCGGCGGCCACGATCGGATGATGCCATTGATGGACGAACGAAAAAATTTCGAGCATACCCAGTGCGTACCGTGCGCATTGCGTACTCCAAAATTCAAATTTTCAATTTGAAATTTGAAATTTCTCAACCGTCATTAGGTTGATTGGCAAAAAATACATATTTGGAAAATTCAGCACTCCAGGAATCGAATGAGCCTATGAACACCTCCAAATTCAAATTTTCATTTTTTGGCCATTTTTCAGCTGGCCGAAAGGGGTACTGCCACCTTAAGCACAGCATGCCGCTGTATACAGTGACTCAACAGTGCATAGGCTGTAATACATGAAAATAAGAACGGCCTAGCCTAGCAGGCTAACCCCCAGTACTTTAGCGTCCGACAGCACTACTGTATGATTGTGCTTGTAGGTTCTTGATCTTACCTATCCATGTGCTGTGTGCTTTCCCCTTGCTGACCGTTGTTTTCCGCAGCCTCTGTCCGGGGAACGCCATGGTATTCGCGATGCAGACTGCAATGCTCTCGCGCACGCCACCATGCTGACTCTCTTCAAAGCTGCACTCTGCTAGGCCAACTGCCCAATGCTCGGTGGCGTAGCGCTCGCCCGTATGGTCTGCTAGCCGGTCGGTCGTTTGCTGACTGAGGCGTGGTGGGATGCTTTTCAGCATGTCCTGATGCCTTTCGACCAGACGTCCAGTACTTGCGTCGCCCTGTTGCCATGTCCTTCTCTTCAACACAGCTCAAGAGTCAAGACCTGTGCCCTCTCGCCATGTCTTTCTGTTGAACCCAGCTCAAGAGTCAATACCTGTGCCCTCTTGCCATGTCCTTCTCTTCAACACAGCTCAAGACCTGTGCCCTCTGGCCATGTCTTTCTCCTCAACCCAGCTCGAGACCTGTGCATGGGTGTGCTGTCAAGCGCAGTCATCCACTGCCTAGCATGTCATTGTGGGCAACACATGACCAGGGTAATCAGTATGGTACTATGCACTGGCACATTGCCTATACACACACGTGCACGCGCGCACACACACACACACACACACACGCACATCGCTTGCAGCTTTTCTTTGTTCCAGCGATGATAAAGATGACGACAACGGCGACGGCAGCAACAGTAGAAACAACAACAACGACGACGACAACGTACGAACGCACACACGCATAATTATGTACATGTACACAAATTCGTCAACGGTACATGTATCGTGTATGCAATGTACTACCTCTTTGCTCATGAAACGCACACACCAGTAGTATCGGCAAGCTATTGTTGCATTGGCCTGACTTCGCCCCAAGCTGGACTGGAGCACCAGAGGTCTTGCATCCCTCTCCTCCCCCGGGAAGTATTTTGAAGAACAGAAAACATAGCCTAGCTTTTTAGTGCACCTTTGCATTGTAGGGTATTACTCTCTGTAGCGCTTTTTTCTTCGTTTTTTGTGCAAGCAAGATTGCGTACTCTAGTCTCAGAATTTCTAGGTGCTCAACATTTTAGGTTTGAGGGCAAAACTAAAAATTCTCAAGAATCGGCTCCAAGAGTTCTAAGTCCACTGGTTCTGGAAAATAAAATTTTAATAAAACACGGGTAGAGAGCGATAATTTTGCTTATATTTGACTGCTTAGCTGTTGCGCAGTTGAACGGTGCCTAGTGCAGCATGGTCACTGCATGAGTAGGACTTGGTCAGTATAGGAAATAAAAACCTCGTAAAAGACCTCGGCTTCGCCTCGGTCTTTTACTCGGCTTTTATTTCCTAGTTGACCGCGTACTCAGTCAATATTAAAGATACTTACAGTTGGATGGGACTTTGCTCTGGGCATGGAAATTCTGTCGTTATTCGCGAATAATACAGTCGTTATATCCGCAGTCGTTATTAGCGAAGTTGACTGTACTCAATTTCTAAGCTATGCCGGAGTCGTTTGAGCAAAGGGTTTTGGGTTTATGTGAACGAGTATTGTATCATAGTGGCTTACCTAGAGACTAGAGTAGATGGTACATGTACATGTACAATGCTATGACTAGTACTCAGCAGGGTATGTTGTACATTGCATGCATGCAATAGTAAAATGTACAATACGTACATGTACGTATACCGTAAACCAATTGTGCTCTTTTTTGGTCTTGGCCATTACACAGTACTCCGTACAAGCTGCTGAGTGCTGTAGCCAGGGATAGGAGTAGTAGGTCTTTACTAATACTCAGACAGGTCGACAATATTCCCTGGTATGGTTGTGGTACAGTCATGCACCCGGGATGATTACAGGTCATCCTAATCAGTAATACTAATAGTATGTGCATGATTCCGAAATCCGCATCTGGTGCTGCTACTGTATAAAAAGACGAAAAAGTACAGGTTGTGCTCTTGACTTGATGCTCGAAATATGGATAGGTGTCAAACGAAGTGCCTGGCATCCGGGCCGATATCCCGGGACTCGAGTTTCGAGTGAGTAGTCATAAATTTTACTGTCACAGTCTGCACTTCATGGCACATAAATTGAAAATAGCCAAATCAATACTATTGCCGTATTGGCTTTCTTGGGGATTCAGCCCGCACTTAGACTAGAAGTGGAGCCACTTGTCTTTCGTTACACCTTCTCCCTCGTTGTCGTAACGTTGTCCTTGGCCATGGGCCTGAGTCACTAGCACTGCAGTGCAGGAAGTAATACTAATACTGTAATAGTAGATCTACGAGTACGAGGCCCAGAGCTAGCTAGCTAGACTCAAGAGGTGACGAAATTTAACACTAACAGATCCACGTGACTGGTGACGTCATGACAGTCCTTGTAAAGTTTTTGTTTGAAGTGCAATCCCCAATAAGCAAACCGTGTTTGGTGATGGGATTACATAGGATTGTCTTTGTAGGTCGAAGTATTATTAGCAGACTCTGAATGTAGAAACTGCTGGGACTGAGTGATATGAGTGTGGTTCGGAATTCCATGCCTACTCACCGTCGATAGTTGACAGAGCTCGGAGAGAAAGCGTTGCACTAACTGTGTAGATCTACGACACCAGGGCGACACCTGGGCTGACAGGATCGCAGATATCGTTACCACTTTCCTCGATCCATTCGGCACGTCAAGCCGTCAGATCGAAGCACTTGCCGTTCAACCCATCAAGCAAGGGGGACGTCGTTCTCTATCTGTGCCCGTGCAAGTGTCATGCCGTGCTAGCAAATCGACAAGTCTGGCACAGTAGCAGAATCATGCTTTTTGAAATGAAGTTGAGCTCAGTCGCCTCGCTGCATGAGCTGCATCATGTCAGTGATGTTCGTTCGTTGCGTACAATCTGCGCCAGTTTCAGAGTTATCTCGCGCTCCGGAAATTGTTTGATGTGTAATGGACACGGCAGCGCTGGAGCTCGTTGATTTGGATACGGCTGAGGAGACGGATTCGTTGGCAGAAATGGAAGAGGCTGAGAGAGAACGAGAGAGGAGGGGTCCTTCCAGCCCATTCGGTTCCAGGCTGGCCCAAGTGCGATCGTTCTCCGTGCGCAGATCACTGCTCCTGGTCAAATTGCACGTGCAGCGCCGGCGCAAGCTGGCACTATCGCTGGCTGTGTTTCTCACAGCCGGCATAGCAGCTAACGTATTTTTCAAACTGGAGTTGAACGCCATGTACAACTATCCGCTGTACACGTCGCAGCTGAATCCTGTCATACTGGCCATCCTGTTTGGCATAGGGCTGAACGTGGAGATTCGCTGTGGGAAGTTTGATAAGGAGCAGGATGGTCGCGTGAACTACTTCAAATGCATGCTGCTGCTTGTGCTCATTAGTTTCTTTGACGTCGCGGCCAACGTCACGGAGCTGAAGAGTTCGGACGAGATGGGCAAGGACGCCGGTCCGCTGTCCATGCTCCTGGCACAGTGCGTCATCCCGTTCACGATGATCTTCTCTGTTCTGCTGCTGCGTCACCGCTACAACGTGCTGCAGATCGTCAGTGCCGTCGTGATCCTCTGTGGCATACTGGTAGTCGTGCTGCCGGGCTCGCTGGCCACCAAGTCGGTCGTGTGGACCGTGGTGTACTCCGCGTCGCGCCTGCCCACCTCGCTGAACAAGGTCATCAAGGAGTACCTGTTCGGCCGGCACGCCGTCTCGCTCCTCTTCGTCGGCTTCTGGGAGCAGACGTTCAACGTGGCGATCGGCGCGCTGTCCATGCTGGTGTGCTATCCGCTCATCCAGGGCACGCCGCTACGCGAGGTACCTACCGTGCTGCTGCGCGGCACCTGGTGCGCCCTGGGCCGCGACAGCATCGAGGGGGACGACTGCCGGCACGCGCCCTGGCTAATACCGCTCTTTAACCTGTCGGCCGTGGTGTGGATGGGCTCGACGCTGGCTGTGGTCAAACACGGCAGTGCCACGGTGGCCTTCCTTGCCAGCGCCATACTGATACCACTCAGCGACTTCTTCTTCGCCAGCCGCTCCATCTTCGGCAAGAACGCCAAGGTGTTCCACTGGTTCGACATTGTCGGCCTGCTGGTGATCGTGTCGGGCATGCTGGCATACGGTGTGGGGTCCGTACTGCAGGAAAGAAGACGAGAACGAGAGGCAGCAGCGGCGGCCGTGCTAGCAACGGCCGCCGGTGGACTACAGAACAGGCTGGGTCGCGAGAACGAATTACCTCATCGTTACGATAGTGATGATGTCATGGAGGACAGCAGTGATGATCGGGAACGTCTTGTCGACTGCACGCATGCATAGCATGACTTCTGCCCTGAAAGGCTGAAGACCCAGTTAAGGGAGTCCCCCCTCTCCCCCTGAACGGATTACGTCATCGTTACGATAGTGATGATGTAATGGAGGACAGCAGTGATGATCGGGAACGTCTCGTCGACTGCACACATGCATAGTATGATTTCTGCCCTGAAAGGCTGAAGGGAATACCCCTGAACGGATTACGCCACCATTACGATAATAATGATGTAATGGAGGGCAGCAGTGATAATCGGGAACGTCTCTTCGATTGCACGCATGCATAGCGTGACTAGTGCTCTGAAGGGAATTCCCCCTGCAGTGCCACTGCTTGAGCAGCGCTGGCCCCCGTCGTGACTATTGATATGTGACAAACTGCAGTGAGGGTTTTGCGTGCATGCGTATGTGATGTGTGCGTGCGTGGGTGGGTGGGTGTTGGTGTGGGCGGGTGCATGTGTGCGTGCAACCTTGAATCCAGACATATTTTGAGAACTTTGCATTGTAGTGTGGTGTACAGCTATAGCTATACTGGCGTACTGGCATTGTTCAGAACATCTTCACACTCGCTGCACTCACACAGATTTCAGTGTTTGAACCGAGTTTTACAGAGTCTATTTACGCGATTATTCGCAGACCATTTCCTTATTTGGTGTTTGGTACCACTTGACTTGCTTTTACCACCGCTGCTTCTGCTCTTTATTTAAGGTCTGATACGATTTAACGGAAATTTTACAAAACATATTCATATTATTCCCTTTGCCCTTTGTTGCAGAGTTCCTGCGTGATGCTCCCAGCTCCGCGCATTATTCTACTCCATCATTATCTTGTCCCTGGTGCGGATATGAGTCGCATTCTCGCGCACGATGTCCTGCGAGTCGTGCAACCTGCAACGGGTGTAGCAGGGCAGCAGGCCACTTTCACTGAGTGTGCCGCTCCTCGCCGCCATCTGGTTCTTCCGGCCGTCAGGGCACTCATCAGTCCCCCCGCCGGGCACAGGTGTCCATTCTCTCTCCAGCCACGGTGATTCCTCTGCAGTAAGTTCTGGTTCTGCTGACGACGACGCATTTCTGGGTACTCTCACCCGTGGCACAGGCTGGAATCTACCCATGCTTCTGCACGGCAAGGACATCACTATGAAGATCCACACGTCAGCATTCATCTCACTGGACTTGCCTGTCTTGCTCGCTCCATCGAACTGTACTCTCCGTGGCCCCGACAACGCAAGCCTCAATATGAGTGTGTGACCGGTTTACAGTTGAGCTGCGCGCAGCTCACTCATCTCACTCAGCGCCCACCCAGGTGTACGTGGCCCGCCACCTCGAGCTTCCGCTGCTCGGACGTCCAGCCATTGAGCCACTCGGCATCCTGCTTGCTCCTGCAAACGTCGTGGAGGCCATCTCCACCTCTAGTGCCTCAGCTCCAGACTCTAGCTCTCATGTCGCTGCTGAGTTGCCTGACCTGTTCTCGAGCCTTGGTACCTTTGGTCATCTACACACCTTTCAACTTCACGATGAGGCTTGCCCATACTCGCTATCCACTTCTCGGCGAGTTGCTCTGCCCGTGGTACCCAAGGTCAAGGTTGACGCCCTCCGTCGCATGGAAGACTCTGGCGTCATTCGCCCAGGTGTCCGAACCGACGGATTGGTGTGCCGGCATGGTCGTTGTGCCGAAGTCAAATGGCGGCGTGCGCATCTGCGGTCTGTATATACCACCCGCTCACCAGCAAGAGATCCTGGCTCGCATTCATCAAGGTCATCAGGGGTATCACCAAATGCCGGCGCCTGGCCCGCACTTCCGTCTGGTGGCCATTGCTCTCCTCTGACATAGCCACTCTCGTCCGAACCTGTGACGAATGCAGTCGACATCGCGCTCAGCCACCCGAGCCTCTTCTCTCCAATCTGCTCCCGGAATTTTCTTGGCAACATCTGGCCGCTGACTTCTTCACCATTGAAGCCCGCAACTACCTCCTCGTCATTGACTATTTCTCCCGGTTCATCGAAGTGCTCGAAATACCCTCGCTCTCTAGACTAGAGCTCGCACGGTCAGCCATCTCAAATTGCTTTTCGCTTCCCATGGCATCCCCGACACTCTCACCACCGACAACGAACCGCAATTCACCAGTGCTGAGTTTGCCCAGTTCATTTCAACCCATGGCGTCCGCCACGTCACCAGTAGCCCTCTCTACCCCCCAAGCCGATGGCATGGCCGAGCGTGCCGTTCGCACCGTCAAGAGTCTGTTCCGTCAGGGTACTGATTGGCACCTAGCTCTCCTCGCGTACCGCAATACTCCACTGGAGTATGATAATAGTCCAGCCCAGCTTCTCATGAACAGCCAGCTGCAGTCACTTCTACCTCTCTCTCTCTCTCTCTCTCTCTTTCTCTCTCTCTCTCTCTCTCTCTCTCTCTCTCTCTCTCTCTTTCTCTTTCTCTCTCTCTCTCTCTCTCTCTCTCTCTCCGGCACAGCGACAGTCGCATCCAGTCGATAAGAGCGACCTGAGTGTCGCGGATCAGCGCCTAAAGGACTGCTGAAGTGCCAACCACGCCAGTCGCCATGCAGCCCGGACACTGCCGTCTCTGTGTCTCCAACAGCCTATTTATCTACCTGATCGTGAAGAGTCTGGCTACGTGATGAGCCAACCGGCCTTGCCCTCCTACACCGTGGCCACCCATCACACAACAGGATCAGCTCAGACGCAACCGGTGGCACGTTGTTCTATTGCCAACGCCGCAACAGCTGACGCCTGCTGGTCCAACCGCCGCTACTACCAATCCTGATCCTCCAGCCGGTCAACCTCCACCTCCGCCGTGTCCTGCAGTTCCCAACTTGCCATCAACCCCTCCAGCTCAAGACCAGTCTGATAAGATGTCACGGGTCGCGGCCGGCCGTGTCGTTCACCCTCCCGATCGCTTCTAACTTACTTGTGCCTCTCCGAACAGAATACTCCACTCCTCTGTGTCTCCCTATCTTGCTCTTTGTCTCTTGTCATGCATGGATAGCATGTGACTATGTATCCTCTGTGTACACCCCTACACCCCTAGGTCCTTTCTTTGTAGGTGGAGAGGAAATACATGCACAGTCCTACTCAATGAAATCCAGTCGCGGCGCTCAAGTTTGCGCCTCGCACCATTTCACAGGCCAGTGTTCACAGGTGTAGGGCTGTGCAACGCCCGGCATGGCGTACTTGAAGGTTGTGACTGGATTTCATTGAGCAATCTGTCCCCGGGGAAAATCGCGGAAAAATCACAAAAAACGCGGGGGAAAACGCGGCATAATAAGGCATAATTTGCGGTAAATATGCGGTAAAAATGCCGCGGGTGAATATTATTGATATGCGGCAAGTTTGCAGTTGATATGAGGCAATTTTCAGCGAGTATGTAGTGAAATCGATCAGTTACAAGTCTCTGGTGTAAGCACTCGTCATATTTTTTAGTACAAAGCCGCCACGATGAGACGTTGCTGACCGAACAGTGCACTGTGTGTACGTGTAGTGCAACAAAAAAGAGTTCAAAAATCGCGGAAAACGCGGTCTTTTAAAAAATCGCAAAAAACGCGGGGAAAAAACTCGGCCGCGGAATCGCGATTTTCCCCGGGGACAGGGCAATACTGTACTATAATCACTGAGAATACTCCCAAATAAACTAGTGTCAGTAGCAAGAGTACATGTAACCAGGACTGTACTCTTGCTAGTACTAGTGACTACAGAATTACAGTAAAACCTGTCAAGGCGACCACCTGTTCTAGAGGAACACTACAACCGGGACCAAGGGATACGATTTCCAGTCAAATGACCCTGGATAAGGAGAGCACCTGTCCACAGCGACCACTTTTTGAAGGTCCTATGAGTATTATAGCAATAAAAACTAGGGCTGAAACGATTATACCAATTACTCGGTAATCGATCGATAATTCCTTATCAATCAAGTAATCGTTACGTTATAGATTACTCGTTAGGGATTTTGAGTCCAAAAAGTACTGAAAACCCTCGTTTTTGTGAAGTTTGAATCAGTTTTCACTGTGAGTATGCAGTTGCCAGGGGCATGGTGCACATTCTGAGGTTAAATTGACTTTATAACTACCATGTTTCTGAGCTACCCTGTCACTAATGCAAATTTGTGGTATTATGGTGGCTTAGATTTCGGAAACAGAGCAATGTTTGCACAAAATTCTGACACTATCTGCTAACGATTATAATCGATAAATCGATCGTTAAGCTCAAGAGTAATCGATAGGTGAAAATCCACGATTGTTTCAGCCCTAATAAAAACTGCTTCATGGCAGTTTTCTAAAAAAAGTTATTGTGTTCTAGTCCATGGACCCCGTCTAAAAAGTAAGAAATTAACGAAATGTGATAGCCGAAAATTAAAATTTCACACAAAACCTCACAATAATCACGACACTTGAAGATCTAATAGTACGGCTTTCAACACTTGTTTATTCCGACACTTGTACTTGTACACGTACATGTACTGCGCCAACATGCTTGCATATGAAAGAGGACCACGAGGGGAAAAGGTCGTCTCGCATCCTGTGTGTGATTATTGTGAGGTTTTGTGTGAAATTTTAATTTTCGGCTATCACATTTCGTTAATTTCTTACTTTTTAGACGGGGTCCATGGACTAGAACACAATAACTTTTTTTAGAAAACTGCCATGAAGCAGTTTTTATTGCTATAATTTCTTTTGTTTTTTTGGCTAAAGGATATTATTATTTGAAACTCGGATGTTGAGCCATAAATAAATGTAAAATAGAAAAGGACATATGGATACGAGTTTAGAGTAACTCTCCATCACTGTAACATGATACTATATACAGTATATATATAGTATCATGTTACAGTGATGGAGAGTTACTCTAAACTCGTATCCATATGTCCTTTTCTATTTTACAGATATTATTATTATTATTTTATTTATTTTACTAGGGCGTTTCCCACAGACCTATGGTCTTCTTACGGGAGCCCCTAGAAAGGTTAAGCATGAACGAACAAATGGGCGATAAGCGCGAACA